CGTGGATTTTGCACAGAAAGGGAGAGAGGATGGTTATTTAACCAAAAATAATATTTTGTTTTTTTTTTTTTTTTATATTTTCACATCAAAAACAAGATTCAAGTAATAAATTTTTAATCAGATGAGAAATACTATGACAAAGTTTGATTTAACTTTTGGTGCTAAGAACACTTTCAACAGTTCTTTGAAATTCCAAAAGTAACGTGTAATTTAAATATTTAATTCTACTTCCTCGTAAATAATTAAATAATTTTTTTTTTTAATGTTTTCCTCGTACACATTGGATATATGGAGTGTTCACGAATTCTACAATTACTGATGGGAACAAGACGAGTTGCGAGGGCGCGTAAAAAATTGCACCAACTCGATTCGTATCGGATGACCAGCATATGTTTGCATTTTGGAAGAATAAGCAATCAAAGGCGTATTTCTTTTGGAAAAGAAAACGTTTTTACGGTGGCCCATAAATAGCTCGGCTTAATAAATTTTAACAACCGGTATTGAGAAAGAGAGACACGGACAGAGGGGCTACACCATAAAACGAACAGATCCCGGATTACTGCGCCCCCGAGAGCTGCAATAAAACGAGCCTACGCCCCTCTTATCTCCTTGTACCGGTAACAGCCCCTACGATCTTTTATTCCTCATGAAAGCCGAGTTTACAGGCGCAATTGACTTTCACTTAGAAGAAAATCTTTTTCTCAAAACAGAGGCGAAAACTCGGGGTCCTTCTCGCCTCTAAATTTAATCCTCTCTTCTTCCCATTCTGTCGCGCACAAGGGAACATTAGTGCTGCCACAGGCAAAAGTCAAGGCTCGGCTTTTTGCCCGAGCTAACAATAAGCCGGACCACCTTGTCTCCAGTGTCTTCCACATGTATTATCAAAACAGGAAATGAACCCGAGCCAAAGGATTGACACTCCACCGAAGGGTCGGTTGATTCATCCCGAGGTACAATAAATCACACGGTTAATCATGCCCCAACCTGAGCGGGCGACTCAGACCATTTCTGAGATAAATTTTCAAATGAAAATTTTCAACCCTTCCCTTCGTCTCCAGAAAAAAAATTATTATACATCATTTTTTGTTTTGTCCCTTTTACAAGCTGTTTCGAGTGTCTGTTTGACAATTCAACGTGTCTTTGTTTCCTTTTTAATGTACTTTCTTACAGAATTACTAAACTGAAAATGATTCATACAATGCACCATAATATAAACAGATAAGATACAATATACCTATCTAAATTTAATTTTTTTCTTTTTTTTTTTTTTTTTTTTTAGGCAACAGACGTTAATATTATTTTAAGGCATAATCCCTAGGGCTTCTTCGAACAGTATATGGTGCGGAGTACTGACAAGTAAAATATTTGTCAGGATTTCATAACAATGGAAAATATAGTATGATGTAATGCATTTTGAAGGGTTTCCTTCAGGAAATACTTTTGTTTAGAATGAAATAAGCGATATAATACAAAAAAACTTACTGTCGATATTTTGTTTTATTTTTTACGTTTGCTCACCTCAGTTAACTGTATTTACAGAATAAAAAATTATTATACTTTCTTGTGATTATAAAATTTTTTTTTATATATTGCCTTGCCTAGTTAACTGAGAGACCATTTTTTTTTTTTTTTCACTTCAAATATGGAGATGCGATAAATCGTGTGAACAAGATCTTCTTTAAAAACATTTCAACATTCAAAATTCAATATATATTGTGCTATTCACCAGATCTCAATAAAACTATTGAATAAGATGCAATTAGTATTAGATGTAAAAATAACTCAACTCAAACATGTTTTTCGCGATGGTAGCCACTGCCACGATAAATACCGTACTGCCACAGCTCAAGTCAGATGCTCCACCCTTGTATTGTTTTGTAGTGGTTGATAGCTTTATCCGTTTGTTATTTGAATTGCTTGTTGTGGTAGCGATTGATTTCTGACTCATTTTACCATCTTGTTTTGTAATATTAGATGAGGTTACGGACCCTTTCAAACATTGTTGTACAAAATATGTAAAAATAAATACTTGCCTCGATTAATGTCATTTGAAGACACACGGTAGTCATCATATTTTTTTGTAGTACTGGTTGGAATTGTGTCTACTGTGCTTGTACGACCATTGATTTTACTGTCGATCCAATCTACGTAAAATGAAATCGGAGTGAAAAGATTCAGCTTCCTAATAATGATGCCAATTAGCACGGTCTTGCTCTCATGTTTTTGAACTAAAAGTAAGCCCTGGAAATCAATGCAATTCGCAAATGAACTTTCTCAACCAAAATTTTGTGGATTTAATTAATTTTCAGCCCTTACCAAGGGACCTTTGCGGTAATCCGTGCCTGCAGCTATACAAAATCGCGATTGAGGTAGTCCTTTATTCCTGTCACTGAATTTTTTCGCACAAGAAATGTCGTTTGTAATGCGAGTCTCCATGAATTGCAGTGGCTTACCTTTTGACCCTTTGTGGGGACTGCGAGTCAAAATACTTTTCCTATTTTTATGAATAGGTTCATTGGGCTCCGGTAAATTTACGACATTCACTGATTCATCAAGTTCCACCTCTTGTGCCAACTCTAAGATAGCTATGTAGTTGTTTGCATAAAGGGAGTCTCTGAAATTTATTTATAATTTTAATTTTTAGTTTAGGATGTCGCATATCATACATCTTCCAATAAACAAATTCTCAACCATACCGATAGCTTTCATGAGTGATAATTTTGTCGGTGTGAATTTTTTTCTCATTGACCTCGATGACGTATTGATCATCCTTTTTAAATACACAACCAGCCGTGGTTAGCACATAATTTTTCTTAATAAGTGCACCGTGACACAAACTATGCCATTTGTTTGGTCTATGTGGATCTGGTCTCAGTACATTTACGACAAATGGAAACTCTTTTCTTGTAGTAGAGTTCCACCTCTCGGACTTGGCAGCTTATTTAACCAAAAATAATATTTTGTTAGTTTTTTTTTTTTTTTTTTATTTTACCATCTCAAACAAGATTCAAGTAATAAATTTTTAATCAGATGAGAAATACTATGACAAAGTTTGATTTAACTTTTGGTGCTAAATATGTAAAATGAAATCGTATCATTCAGAGTACCACATTGTTGCACCACTGGTACTCACAAATGTGTTTGCCAACCATGTAAAGNTACCCGGACCATTTGCATATCCGTTCGTCGGAAATTTACTCAAATTTAACGTTAATTGTTTACGTGATAGTTTTTTTTTTTTTTTTATATTTTCACATCAAAAACAAGATTCAAGTAATAAATTTTTAATCAGATGAGAAATACTATGACAAAGTTTGATTTAACTTTTGGTGCTAAGTATGTAAAATGAAATCGTATCATTCAGAGTACCACATTGTTGCACCACTGGTACTCACAAATGTGTTTGCCAACCATGTAAAGGTTCCTTGCACAATACAGTAAATACAACACTTTTGAGCAGGTAATTTTATTTCGTCCGACAATATTCTCACTCGTGAAAAAATTATCTGCTGTTACACTATGGCTGCATTGTTAACTGTATTCACGGAATACACGATAAAAAAATACCAGTACGTACCTTGAATTACCGATAGCGCAGCCAGTATTTTTAAAAGGACCATTATGGTGGCAGGATAAAGTAGTAAAGTTTTTTTTTTTTTCAAATTATTCGTAGTTCCGAATGCTCTTACAACGTAACGTGTAACTAACTTGAGTCATTACAGTCTAGGACTCGGCTTTCTTTCGTCGACTTTCATAAAGATAAGGTTGATAAGCTACTTAAATGAGCCTTTTTAGTTGCAATGTGATTGGCTCAAACTGGACACATGGTTTGTTTTCAGCGCGCAAACTCAAAACTATGAATTAGAGAAGTGATACGAGAAAAAAAAAAAAAAAAAAAAATCCTCATCTGTACAAAGTTTAATTTGAATGGAAGGTATTGAAAAAACAAATGATTAATTTTTTCTTGAAATATTTTAAGAAATGTATTTGGTGAAAGATCAGGGGTCAACGCACCAAGTCGCTTAATCGTAAGAAAAAGATGTTGTTTTCTCACCTGGTGGCGGCGTATGTCGCGAGGGTAAGCACCAGACCCGAGGGATCTGCCAAGCAGGGCCCGAGGGACCCCTTGTGCGTGCCCTGGTCGGATGCGCACCAGGTGCGAACTCGATTCTTCCTACCGAGGGCGCAGTAAACGTCCAAAGGTGAAAAAAAAAAAAAACACCTAAAAATTGTTTCACGGTGTTTCTTTTAGGCGATTATAAATTAATTTATCCCTCATCGAAAAGGTAGAACTACAGGCTATAGCCAACCCATACAGGCGTCCACACAAATGTAGAACATTAGCTGTTGTGTGTTGCACCATTTCCGTCAACACTTTAGTCAAACGATAATATTCCAAATCTGTTATGGCAGAAATTAACATTTTCAAACAAAATGTTATCCACATTAGATCAAAAGTAATTGTTTGACGCGCTTGTTACGGTAAAAGTCGCGGTGAACGTTGGTTGTATCTTATCTCGTATTTACGTTCAACGAAACACGTTAATGGCCCGAAACGTTTCGAGAACCAAAAGTTCGTGGAAAAGCCGATCGATCGCTCGGTACGGGTGGAAAAAAAAAAAAAAATTTGCCAACACATCGACGACACCAACGCTGCCGATAGAACACCCGAAGTATATCTGCCGGTTCATCCCGACTCTCAATATTTCGCAGCGCGCGTTAAAATTCACCACCTCGAAAAAATCCACAGCCCTTTAGCCTTGAGGGAGGTCCGGCATCCTCCGGACGGAGTTTTACGATCGAGAGAGGCGCAAGCCAGCGACGATGATTTATTCCCTTTTCTCGGCGCGCTTTCGCAGACGTGGACGGACGCGCTGCACGTGTGGTCATGGCCGCGCGAGGTGAAAACCAAGCGCATATACGCGTGCACTCGTATATCATCCCGGGCGTCGTAAATATATATGAAAAAGTTACACCCCCGGCCTGTCTCTATTTTATTTTTTTTTTTTTTTTTTTCCGGAAATCGGACGCAAGTAAATGGTTTTGTTGTTTTTCGAGGGTGGTCGAGGTGACGCGGGGGAAGAAACCCGGAAAGAAGGACCCTCGGAGAGTCCTGTTTTTCTGCTTCCCGCAGTTTAGGGAAACATTAGCGACGAGGAAGTGGAGGAGCCAGAACGAGAAAAAGGGCCTCTTTTACGATTCGATCGGAGCCGTGTACCCTCCCAAGGACCTTTGTCTTTGGATGAATGGCTGCTCAAGGGGTTTCGCCTGTCCTTCTCTCATTATTCTTCCCCCGTGCACCGGCTATGTACGGATAAAACTCGGCCCGACTGGCCGGTAACGATTTCTCTCTGCTCGAATGGAGGCACATCATGGGCCTCTCCTTTCACTAACCGGACCCGAGCCCGCACTGATTTATTGGAGGAAGTTTTTAATTTACAAACTCTTGGGATACATGATCCTAATTACATCGCGTGCTTTTTATTCTCACACTCGCGTAGGAATGCTCGCGGGGTGAGCGTCATTGAGCATCCGACTTTGGGGTATTGTTGGGCACAAAGGACAGCTGAGGCCCGGAAACAAAGCCTACGCGACTGTGGCGACTGACTGAGAGGGTATAAGTACGTGGCGGGGCAAGAAAAAAGGCCCGGGAGGGTGGATGCTGCTTACGCGCAGTGTGGTGGGGCTCGACAAAAGCAGTCCTCTCTCTGTTTCGTTTTCTGTGCGAACGAGAGTGCGCGAGGGATGAGGAATCGAATGATCTATTGGTGGAGCTTTTTTTTTCATAAATAAACTTGTACGTTTCTTTCAAATGTATTATTCGAGAAAACGAGATACGTACAATCTATGAGAAATCTAGCGGATACGATAAACGTTTTTTAATAATCCTTTTTTTTTTTTTTTTTTAAATAATAGTTTAGTTTTCTCTTGTATCCTTTTTTTTGGATCTGCTGAGGCTTAATCGTGGGTTCACATTGGCTACCTCCCTCCTCCCCCCCTTTAAAAAAAAAAGAAAACATGGTTTTCTTTTCTCACGTGTGGATGAGAATACGATGCGGGCGTGCCTGTCTCTCTGTGTGTGTCGATTGTTTGACAGATGCTTTGGCTTTGAATTTCTCTTCTTCCCTTTTTTCGGGCTCCACGAGGATGAAAGAATCTGTCGCTTGCGGCTTTTTGTTCTTCCTTTGTGAAGCATAGAGAATGGGACGACCGGGGATGCTGCTGAGCCTTTTGAGCAGTGAGGAGGCGCGTGCTGGCGTCTTCCGGGGTTTCCGGGAAATTTGAAAATTTTTAAATTGCCATGTTTCATCAGAGATGTGAATCTCGTATCGATCGAAATGTCAAACTTTTCTTTTTTTTGTTTTGTTTCTATTTGTTTGGATAAAATTTATGTTTTAAGGTGATCGCGACAAAATGCCCTCCTTTTAGTTGTTAATCAACGTTACTTGACGGATCTGATAAAATCTAACTTCGGAGGTACACTCAATTTTGACCGACTAGACATTTATAAAATCAACATAAATAAATATCGTTTTGAATACAACATGTCCTTCGATCAATGCATCTCTTGATTTTCTTGATTGCCCATAATCACCGTCTTGAGATAAACAGAACGAACATGTTTGAAAAATGTTATCCTCCCACGTATTTGTATTCACCAAGCGTATATATTATGCTCCAGTAAATTGTGCCATGAAAAAATTACTCTGGATGATTTTCATGCCCATCGAGCGTTAACAACTTTCCAGCTATGGCTATACAGGCTCTCCTATTAAAAATGGCAACATTTTATTAAAAAGTAAAAAAAAAAAGTGGAAGAACATAAGAAAAGAGGAAATATTCATCCAAAATGTCATTAGACACGTAGGCGCTCGTTTCATCTACGAGCACATTCCATTTACAGATTGCATCGCATAATTAAATGCACAACGAGCGTAAGCCCCCGCGCATGAAACCATCAGGATGCAAGCATGTTTTCAGTAAAAAAAAAAAAAAAAAAAAAAAAAAAGGAGGCGCGGCAAAAGTGTCGGCTAAGCCCGTAGCACCGATATACGATACAAATTTACATATAAATTTCAACGTTTCGCGTTGAACGGAAAAAAAGAGAGAGGCGGCGCAGGGAGACGCGCCACTTTTTGCGCGAGCCGTGCCACGATATCGCTTTGACGCAACGCGGCAGCTTTTTTTCCCTCATTCGCTATCTCATTAGCGACTGCCGCGAGAGTGGCACGGGGGCGTGTACCTTTTGATCAATTGTACGCGCTGCTTCTGCGCCGTCGGCCAAGTTATGTGATATTTCCTTTCTTTCTCCTTTCCCCCCCCCCTCCCACCCTCCCTCCGTCTGTCTGTCTGTCTTGCATTTTTTTTCAGGTCGCGGCGCTTCTCCCCCACCCCCTGCCACGATTAATCTGGTTTAGTACGCACGCGATACCTCCGCGAGCGCTCGCTTTCCGGTTAGTTAGACGCGGTATTTCCTTTTTTCCCCTGCCCCGTCCCTCTCTGTCGCTGCTTTCCATTAAATTTAGCGCGAATCCGGCTCGAGTCTGCTTTTAAAATTTCCATCCTCTCTCCCTTTCTGTGCAAAATCCACGTTCCCGTGAAAAAAAAAAAAAAAAATGCGAGCTTCGCGAGAGAGGATGAATCTGATTAAGCAGCCCTTTTCCCGCGTGCCCTCGAACAAAGTAGAAAATACCTACGTGGTGCATGTATATCGTGGCTTATGGGTGGATTGTATGCGCTGCTGATGGTTCAACACCTCCGGGTCGATTGGGAAACTTTTCGATTTTTCTTTCAACACGTGCACGTCACGCGTTTAAAAGTCAATGGCTGAGGTCTCGCTGATGTGATACACTCGCACCTTTCTACCTTTAATTCATACAAAAGAAAAACAAAAATCATCCTTTGCAAAAGTACGAGAAAAAGGAGTCATTTTTCATTCAAGAAAAATGAGTGAAAAATGTGTATAGGTACACCATCGACAAGGTGGACATTTGTTTGGCGAATGGATAATACAGCATATCCTCTTAACAAGTATATCTCGTAAAGAACCAACGTATACTTGAAACGCCGCAGAACTGTCCAAAAACATTAACCAAGATGCTGCGTGTGGAGGGAGGTATACCCATGAGGAAATTAATATGCGACCCCAAGCCTCTTTATCTCCCTAAGCAACAATAACTTTGCAAAATGAATAAATCTCCGGTTCGCTGGCCCGTGACCATCTTCGCACACGGTCCCGTAGCGCTCACGAGATTAAGTTACACCCATCCTCGAGGGTACATTGTATGCAAAAATTTGTTACAGTCAACTGGTACTTACCGGCGGGGCGACAAAAAACCACCACCGGGCTTCAATCAGCTCCTGGCCACGAAAGGACCTTTAACTTTTCCCGTACGCACGGTCCACTGGCGATTCCTTCCGGAGAGGCGCTTAAAGTATCACGTATCGACCTTTCTCTGGTGGAAAAAAAAAAAAAAAAAAAAGCAAACCAGACTATAAATATACATATTGTACGCGGAAGAGGGAAAGGTGTCCCGTTCGCGTTAACATAAATTAAACCTCGAGCCGGTGATCCCGGGATCGTTGGGGTAAGTTACATAGTCGAGTAGCGTGCGCGCCC